AAATTTTCTGTCTTTCAGACAGAAAAAAAACATAAACCATAAAGGAAGAAAGTGATACAATTTAAACCTCTGTACTGTAGAGACAATATAAAAAGGTTAAAAGTGACAAACTAGGAGAGGATATTTGCAATGAATTCAACTGCTATTATTCACATCATTATTAGCTAGTATTAGTACCAACATTTACACATTATTTTTTTTAATTTGTATTTATTGATTTTACAGAGAGAGAGAAATATCGATTTGTTGTTCCACTTACTTACGCAATCATTGGTTGGTACTTTTGTCTGTGCTCCAGCGAGAGATGGAACCCACAGCCTTGGTGTATCAGGGCAACGCTCTGACCAGCTGAGCTCCCTGGCCAGGGCCCCCCAACATCTACACACTATTAACAAGACAAACACTGGCTCCACCCCAGTGGGAAAAAGCTAAGAATTTTTTTTCTGAAAAGTAATTCAGAGAAGAGGAAACTGGAATGAGGAATGGATGAATTCCATTTTAGTTTGCCCATCCTCACAAATAATGAGGATAACAATTGGATAGCCTTTCGCATCCCTCAGACTGGCAAAACTTTTTTTATTCTGGCATTACCAACAGAAGCAAAGCAATCAGATTTCTTATAAACTCTCAGTGGGGGTGTAAATTGACACAACTACTCTGGAGAGTAAATTGCCAGCACCTAGTCAAATTGAAGTGCCCACTGGAGTAACTAGATTTCCTTATTTTGTATATTCTTGATGCTGTGGCATTTGTGGCCTCCCTGAGTGGAAAGAGACTGACCCTCCCAGGGCTAGCCAATTCCTGAGCCCCTCTCCCTGCCCACACGACCCGATGCCGATGCCGAGCCTCTCTCTGCTGTGGGGCTGCAGGCAGCAACGTTCCCCCGCCCTGCTCACCTGGGGCCGGGTACCAGGCACCTAGACAGCCAGCAGACATCACCAAACCAGCCAGTCCTACGCTGTTTCCTCTGCTCTGCCTGCCTTTCTCACAGAACAAAATAAAGGCTCTGGGCCCTGCTTTCCGCACATCCCTCCTGCCTCCTGCCCAGACCCGTGGCTTCCCCGTGCGGCACAGCCTGCCCCCTTGTCTCCAGAAGTGAAAGTAATAAAAACCTTTTAAGGGCATTAGCCTCTCCATGTCGTCACTCAGTCACCTCCATAAATTAAAGTTCCATGGGTACAATAGATACACCCACATTGTTGCCTGAGAAATTCCTATATGATGGAAAACACTCAAATGTCTGAAGAGAGTGGTGAATACATTGTCCCACAGTCTCATGGTAGGTTACCAAAAGCAGTAGAGTGGAAAAGACTAGAGCCATGTATCATAATGCTTAATGAATGTGGCAAATTACAGATTAAATGTGTTTGCTTATGTGAAACTCAAAAATATTTGTAAAACAATAATATGCATTCTTTATAAATTTCCATGTAATTAAAATCTGAAAACACGGAAGGGAAAGATTCTCCCCACCTGGGAGGCGGCCTCCCCCGGGAGGGACACCAGGCGATCGGGATGCAAAGGAGGTTTCACCTGCATCTGTGGTGTTTCATTTCCTTTTTGCCTCTACTGTGATGTTTTATTTCTTTAAAACCAAACAAATATTTTTCTGAGGTGTGGTGAAATGTTAAGATTTGTTCAATCTGCCTGGAAAGTGCATGGATATTTGCTGTTCTATTTTTGACACTTTACTGTATGTCTGAGCTATTTCATGAGAAGAAGACATGATTTAGGCTGCATGATAAGCTCAAGGTCACATAACAAACACCATGAAAGGATGTCCAATGTCAACTGTGTCACCGTTTCTCCTCTCTCCTTAAGTTTTATTTTTTTCAAATTTCTGACTTTTTAGAAAAGTGACAGCACTTGCACCCCACAAAGGATATACCTGTATGTTGGTCAAGAGTTCAAAAATGACATCACACCTCAAAAAACAAGTTCAATTCATTAACAGAAACCTACTTTATTTTTCAGGAAAAACAAGAAGGAGAAAGATATTCTTTTTCTTCTAACAAAAGTAATAGTTGTTAAACAATTTCTATAAGGTATAATAAAAATTTTCTGACTACATTTTTCAGAATCTTTATGAATCAAAATTATTTCACCTATAATAACAAACTATCTATACCTCAAAGTATTTCTTCTGTTTTTTCTAAAAGCAAAGGGCATGTTTTGTTTGTTTTTCTCAAGAGAACATTTACACATTTTGGTAGAAATATTTAATAGTCCTTGCATTAGTCATGAGGTTTTTGGCAGCGAATATTTAATGAACAGTGGCTGAAACAACAAAGATGTTCAACTAACTGACTTAACAGGGAGGAGACAAGTGGTGTGGGGCCCGGCGTAGTCACTAACAACCTCCTCGAGGACCCAGGATCTTTGTCTTCTGCTACCCTCAGAAGTTTGTAGCAGCTGTCATCCAAGTCGTCCAAAGCAGCCCCTAATGATCTCCACCTTCTGGTATTCACACCCCTCCCCCACTGCTTACCTGGGCTGGTCTGTGTGGCCTTAGCCCTGGTAAAATGTGGGAAGGGTGCAAATATGGCAGAAGAGGCGTCCTCACCTATGAGATTAAGTTATATAAAAAGACTACAGCTTCCATCTCAGATTCGCACTGTCTCTTGTCCTCTCTCTCTCTCTCTCTCTCTCTCTCTCTCTCTCTGCCTCTTACTCTGGGAAAAGCAAGCTGTCATGTTGTAACCAGCCCCATGGAGAGCCCCACCTGGCAAGGCACTGAAGCTGAACGTCAACAGCCAGCGAAGAACCCATGCCTACCAACAAGCATGGTGGTGTGTTTGGAAGTGGGTTCTTCCAACCCAGTGACCCTTGAGATGATTACAACCCTTGCTAGCAGTTTGGCTACCGAGAGCCCCTGAGCCACTACTGCCCAGCTAAGCCATTTCTGGGTTCCTAATCCACCATAATTGTGTGATATAATAAATTTTTGTTCTTTGAAGGCATTAGTTTTTAGGTAATTTGTGGCACAGCAATAGAGAACTAATACACTCAGTGTCTGCCCTGTTCCCCTGACGGTGACTGCCCCAGCTCCCATACCGTGTTCTCACAGGGCAGCATCTCAGGCAGGAAGAAAAGGTGATGGGGCTAAAAGGGCTCATTTTATGTTCCTTTCTCCTTTTATCAAGGAGGAAAATCTTTCTTAGAAGCCACTCAGCAGATATCCTCTTACTTCTCATTGGCCGGAACTGTGTCTTTGGTAGCCTCTAGCTGCAAGGGAGGCTGGGAAATCAATAATATTGGGATAACATTGTGTGGTGCCAGGTGGGTACTGGAAACACTGAGGGGGGACACTTTGTAAAGTATATGATTATCTAACCACCTGAAATTAATACAGAATAACATTAGATGTAAACAGGAATTGGGAAAAAACATTTGGGCCTTTTAGGTTTTTGTGGGGAAGTGGGCACAAAACATACAGGCTGGGAATGGCTGCTCTCTCACAACAACAGTGTCTACCAGCCCTTCCTGCAATTTCAGTGCGTCTGGTTGTTTTCACCCGGGATCATTTTAATGGTGACTTCATACCGCATTCACTGTAGACTGGAAGTTGGCCTCAATTAGATTCAGGTTAAAGGTTATTGGTAAGATTACTCACAGGTGATGCTGTGACCTTCATACTGTCACACCAAGAAGCAACCAGGATCTTTGGTACACAAACATTTTACAAGATTTAAGAAGAGGGTGGTGCACCTTTAACGAAAGGCTAACCTGGAATCCAGAGGAGCCGTGACCTGAGCGGCTTCACTTGTAGTTATAGAAACTCTGTGTTTGTCTATAAATTTATTTTTGGTTGTGCTGTGGGAATCATGTGAGATAAGCAGTCTTAGTTACTTACTTTTAACTCCTCGTGAGCTGCTGAGTCATACACTCAGTGTGATTTAAAATACCTGAGAGGTTATGTATTGCCTTTAAAAATTAAATGCAGAAATGTTGGATTGTGGCCCTTTTATGATGTCATCCGCTTGAAGTTTGTAGGGCTTCAGGGACAGCGTCAGGAACAAGGAGAATAAGACACACCTTCTCAGTCATTTAACTGAGGCACAGGACGAGCAAGCCCTGCAGCCTGTGGCCAGGACCTTCTCATGCGACATGGTGAATTTCTAGTTTGGTGGTTTGCACTTGCTGTGGTTTCCACTGTCCCCATCTCCATGGAACTGAAGACCATGTTTTCTCAGTGAAAACTGGGGCTTACTCTGACAGCCAGGCCTGAAGAGTGGGAAGGCCAGCAACCGTGTTAGGACAAAGCACTGTCCTTGAAAGCGTGGGGGCCCCCAGGCTTCTGGAGTCCCCGTAGCCCAGGGAGAGCAAGGTGGGCCCGCTTCCTGTTTCACTGGGCATTTCAAGATGACGTGGAAGGGGGATGCTTATTCCAGGTTGTCTTTCTTCACCATGACCTTGTGCCACCTCCAGCTGCCTACCCTTCTCTGCAGCCCCATTGGCAGGGGACTCTGTCCCCCTCTCTGAAGTCACCTCTCCACCTCCCAGCTCCTGTGTCTTGCTGTCATCTCAGACTCATCTTAAAGATAACTCATCCTTCACCCAGTTTTCCCAAGTCAGTAAAAGGCAACCCACTCCTCCCAGCCCCTAAGGTGAGGGCCTTGATGCATCCTGTCCAGCCAGCCAGTCCCCTCGTCCTGCAAGTCTCTGCAGCGATGGTTTCATTAACTTGTCACCCTCCCTTCAGCCCTGCCCCCAGGCCCTGCCACCCGCATCCCTAGGAGGATGCAGCACCTTCCTCTTCCCTCTCCCTCCCGCCCTGGTCTCATTGCCCTTGCAGGCTTCTCACCTGAGAGCCCTCCCAGCTCCTCCCAACGTCAGCAATGGCACCCTTTGTTCGACCTCACCTCCCCGGCCCACCTGTCTGGGAGCCTTGGCCCTTCTACCCTTGATAATAATAGACACAGCACATGCCAGACATTTTACAGCTGTATCTTTAACCTTTAAACTACTGTGTAACATAGGTGTTATTGTCCCTTTTACAGATGAGGAAAACTGAGGCCTGGAGAGGTTACACAGGTCAGGCTGCCCGTAAACAGCAGAGCTGGGATTCAACGCATGTCTGTCTGATCTGAAGACCTTCATCCCGTGTGCCTGCCCACCGTCCCACCCTGCCTTTCTCTCCACGGAGCTTGTGCTGCTCCCTGTCACGATGCCACGCCTCCCCCCACAGCCCCTTTAAATCTCACAACCCACGGCTCTGCCATGCAGCTTCCCTGGTGGTTCCAGCCCACACTGCTCACCCCATCTCTCAATTTTTCTGGCAGGAATCCCAGTCTGTACAATTCAGTACTTAATTATAAACTGCCTGTCTGGTGACTTCACGTTTGCTTGTCTTGTTCCCAGGAAGCTGAGAAATGCCTGAGTTCAGGGACGGGGCTTACACTCATTCCTGTCCCCAAGAGCCCAGCGCAGAGATGGGGGTGCAAATACTCAGTGGAGCGGACCTGTTTCCCAGGGTCATGACACTCCAGTCGCTGGATGGGCTGCACCCTGGCACACCCCACCTCCACCCCAGCGGTAAGCCTCAAAACTCTGCAGACACACACACACTTTCTCTTTTGGTACACGCACATTCAATCAAAAGGCCTCTTTCCAGAGGGACGCAATTGGATACCTGGAACTACCTACCCAAGGGACAGAGCGACCTCCTGCCTGAACACTGAGCGTGGCCCTCACTGGAAATCCAGCGTGGACCAGCGGGGCCGCAGAGTTGGCGGAGCTCCCAGGGAAAGGTGAAGCTTTGCTATCACATCCCAACAGGGTATGGAGCTGCGCTGGCCACTGGGTAGGGTGCTTAGTGTCTCAGTTCTGATTCTGGTCCTGCCTCTGGATGGACTGGGGCCGAGGGGGGAGCGTTTGCCGTGAGAAAGAATCCCCTCTCCAGACCGTGCTCCACCGCCCCAGAGGGGGCGTGAACGGGGCCCCTGGTGCTGTGCCGGCCCCCAGGCACCACCTCCCCGCCCTCTGGGTTTCAGAACATCTCTGCTCTGATCCCCAGGCTCCCATATCTGTGTTCTCAAGCTGTTCCTTCTTGGAATTAAATGGCCCCATCTCAAACTTCTCATTCCAACGTCGGGAGAAGAACATTGTAATATGAAGTCCCACACACTTCCAATGATCTAGAGTTCAGATTAATTTTGTTCTTGGGCGATTAGGAGACAGCATGAGGTCCAGGGTTTGGTGAGAGGGAGCCGACCAAGGGCCAGTGGGTCAGCGAAGGGCAGGAGAGAGAAGAAGACAGTGAGGATGGAGAGTCAGTGCTTGGTGGGGCCCCGGAAGCCCCGCTTGTCTTCCTGTACGGTTTTGCCCGTGGCCGGTCCTAACATGTGAACAAAAAAGTGATTAAGCAAAGGGGAGCTTATGTAAGATGGACAAATAGAAACAATTGTGCAACATCCCGCCTGGAGCCTGGAGAAGGAGCCCAGGGAGGGTGTCACTGTAGGGGGCACGGGCGGTGGGACCATGTCCCCGTCAAACACCGGGGCCACCCTGCCAGGCCTGCCGAGGTGGGGAGGGGACACCGTCCTCCTGGAGGGAGGCCAGCATTTAATTCCTGTGCTGCCACAGTGCCTCAGGGAGAGAGGCACCCTCTGATAAGCATCTGTGGAAGTTTCGCAACACGTGTGCATCCTTCTGGGCTGAGGGCTGAGCAGTGCCCGCCTCCTTGGGCCTGGCCCCGTGTGGCAGCTCAAATGCCGTAGGTGTGCCCAGCATGGGCAGAGGGCCAAGGACTCTGCCAGAGATGAATCCAGACATGCGATGAAGCCAGGGGCCCCTCAAAACCAGCTGCTGCTCGCGCATCCGGGGGCTTCTTCACCTTGTCCTAGCAGAGCTCAACAGGCCCGGGTGCGCTGCCTGAGCCACCCGTGGGAGCCCCAGCCAAGTGGGGAGAGCTGGCCACATCCCAGGCTCCGGGCTGGCAGGGAAGCTTGGCAGCCAGTTCCCACAGGAGGGAGGCCCCAGCTCGGGCAGGCCGGCTCTGAGGGGTGACTTCTCACTACAGGAAGCCCCAGTCTGAGGAGATGGAAGAACAAGTGTTCAAGGGGGATCCGGACACCCCTCATTCCATCTCCTTCTCGGGAAGCGGCTTCCTCTCCTTCTACCAGGCTGGGGCCGTGGACGCCCTGCGGGACCTGGCCCCCAGGATGCTGGAAACCACCCACCGCTTCGCTGGGACATCAGCAGGTGCCGTGATTGCAGCCCTGGTCACCTGCGGGATTGAGATGAGTAAGGCCTTTGTCCTGGGTTCCCTGGGGAGCCTCCGCGGCATCCCCCACGGCGAAGCCTCAGGAGTGCTCTGGGGTGCTTTCGGGAGCACAGCCAGGACTCGTGGGAGACAGGAGAGGATGAAGTGGGTCGAGTGGGACGGTGGCAGCTGTGAGTTTTAAGGCTGGGGTCTGCCGGTCCTTGACCCAGCAGCTGAGCTCGGACCCATTTCTCTCTCTCTCTCAATGCTCCTACCTGGGATGCCCCGGCTCCCTCAGTTTGAGGCAGGGTCTCCCGCAAACATCCGTCTTGGAGATTATGCCATGGCACAGTCAGACGTGGGGGTGAAGTGTCCCCCGCTGGCCTCATGTAAAACACATCTATCGGGGGAGGGCTGCACTCCCTGTCTGGATCGCCTTGGTGGGGACGGGTTTGTCAGACCTGCTTCCAGGGGCTGGAAAGATGAAACTGGGGGCTGGGGGTGGAGGCAGGGCCAGGATGGGAAGGAACTAGGAGGGAATGTGGAAGCTCACGCTTCCCCTCCTGCCCTGCTAGGACGGTGGCCCCAGAGGGCAGGAGCGCCACCCCATGCAGGGGGAGACAGGTTCCTAGCAGCCCCAGACGGCAGCTAAACCTGGCAGTAGAGGCCCCATGTCCGCCCACAGGGGCCGCCTTGGGCGCATTTATTCATTTACTGCTGCAGTTTCGTGTCCAGCTCTGTTCCAGGCACAAGGGCCGGAGTCCCTGTCCTGACGGAGCAGAAATTCTAGGAGGAGGAGATACATAATAAACAATCATACAAGTAACCTTATGATGTCACGTCAGGAAGTGCAGTTTCTATGAGTAAAATTACCACAGGAAAAGGTCAGAGAATGAAGTAGGGACTATTCTAGGAAGGGTGGCCGGGGAAAGCCTCTTGGAGGAGGTGACGCTCAAGCAGAGACTCGAGTGAAGTGAGTGAAGAAGCCATTGGAAGGTCAGGAAGGAAAGAACATTCTAGGTGAAGTAGCAGCCAGGGAGCCGGCGGGGCGGGGAGAGGTGGGGGAGGAGGAGGGGGTGGGGCCGGGGTGGCGAGGCCGGCAGGGCCGGTCCGTGGGCCAGGCAGCCAGAGTGGCGGGCCCTGATTCCTCTGGGAGAGGTAGGCGCACAGAGAGGCTGTGAGTGCGGCAGTGCGGGGGCAGCTAAGGGCACACGCGCCACGTGGGTTGGATCCCATATTTCACAATATGCCCCTGGGGCAAATTAGCGAACCCTCCGTGCCTCAGTTTCTGCACCTGTGAATGGATGATTCTACTCAGACCTACTTCCCGAGGTAGAAACAAGGAGGCTGTCGTAGCCCTAGACGGGGCGGGGCGTTGAGGGCGGTGAGGCGCGTTTAGGCGATGAGATCAAGGATGTGCTTTGGAGGTGGAGTCGGTGGGACCTGCGGACGGGCCGCGGCGCGTGGCCCCCGCCCCCACCCTGTTCCCGCCGTCGGACGCGTCCTGTCTGTCCCCAGACTCCCTCCTTTTCCCGGCGTCTGTGTCGTTTACTCGCTCCATGGCTCCCACCCGCTTCGTGTCATTATTTCAACTTCTTCAAACCACCATCTGAAAGACTCGGTGGTGTCCTCATTCTCTGCCATTCAAGGACTTTTCGGAACGAATGCAGTTCTATCGGTTCCGTAAATACTGCTCCAAACCTACGTGGTCAGGCTGCGCCGAGCCCGCACAGCAGGGGAGAGGAAGGGACACCCGACAGCAGGTGTGACCGGGGACTGGACCGTGTGCTGCCCGTGATCAGGAGGGAAGTTCAGGGACGGGACGTGCTGTTTCCGGGACGATCCCACATCACTCCAGCGAACTGCGCTCGTTTCGACGGCCACGAGATTTACCACTAACCGGCGCTTCCTTTATATCCGACGCAGTTTCAGGTCTTTGGGATATTAACTCATTTGGTCCGCACACCCACCTCTGAGGTGAAATCTGTTATTATCTCCATTTTACAGAAGAGGAAACGGAGTGACAGAAAGCTTCACCATCTTGCCCGCGGCCATACAAACCGTAATTGGTAAAGCTGGGATTTGAACCCAGTCTGGCCAGAGTCTCCACCCTCACCCTTTAAACCACTCTGCCTCTTGATCAAGGGGTGTCGGGATGTAGATGCTGGTTGTATAAACAGTGGGGACAGGGAAATCTCTCCCAGCTGGTGGAACTTGCGCTCAGACCTGGGCAGGTAAAATCTCTACTGAGAGGGACAAGTGACTTGTGTCATGCCTGTCATCTGTTAGAAGCACAACAAGAGCCAGGACTTGGTCTCCTGTCTTCGAGGCTCTTTGCCTCTCCCGGTTTGCATTTCATTCAGCCGTTCTGTGGACGGGCGTGCCCGCGTCTGTTGCGCTAAGCAGCACCGCAGTGCGCATCTGTGTCTGCGTCCGCCGAGCCCACGAGGAAGGCTTCCCGTGGGTACGCGTCCTGTTAACGACACCAGACTTGGTTTGATGGCTCTCCAAAGTGGTTGTACCCATCCAAGCTCTGACTGCCCCACAACGTCATCGACCCTCGGTGCTGTCAGACAGCAAAGTTTTAATTCAATTTAATGAAGGTGACATTATGTCTCACTTCATTTAATCTGATCTCCTGATTACCAGAGATGTTATCACTGTTTCCTCTTCTGTAACTTGCCTGCTCATGACCTTTTACTATTTTTTCTATGGAATTAGCCTTTTCTCTTTAATTCGCAGATGTTCTCTCCATTGCCTGTACACTCATCATTTGTCACAGACACCCAGCTTCTTATTCCATCCATGACTTGTTGTTATTTTGTTTATGATGTCTCTTGTCCTTCAAAAAATTTTCATCTTAGAGTCAAATGTGTTAATCTTTTCCTCTTACAATTTGTGTTTCTTTTTTGTTTTAATTTATTTTTTTATTGATTATGCCATTACAGTTGTTCTATTCCCCCCTTCATTCCCCTCCACCCTACCCCCATCCCCACCATTACCCCCCCTTTAGTTTATGACCATGTGTCTCAAGTTCTTTTAGATTCTATATTTCCCATACTATTCTTGCCCCCCCATCTATTTTCTATCTACTGTCTATGCTACTTATTTTCTGTACCTTCTCCCCCCTTCTCCTCCTCCCACTCCCCTGTTGCTAACCCTCCTTGAGATCTTCATTTCTATGTTTCTGCTCCTGATCTAGCTGTCCTTTTAGTTTGCTTTCGTTTTAGGTGTGGTTGTTAATAACTGTGAGTTTGCTGTCCTTTCACTGTTCGTGTTTCTTTAACTTCTTTTTCTTAGATAAGTCCCTTTAACATTTCATATAATAAGGGCTTGGTGATGATGAACTCCTTGAATTTGATCTTATCTGAGAAGCACTTTATCTGCCCTTCCATTCTAAATGAAAATTTTGCTGGGTAGAGCAATCTTGGTTGTAGGTCTTTGGTATTTCATGACTTGGAATACCTCTTTCCAGCCCCTTCTTGCCTGGAAGGTCTCTTTTGAGAAATCTGCTGACAGTCTGATGGGAACTCCTTTGTAGGTGACTGTCCTCTTAGCTCTTGCTGCTTCTAGAATTCTCTCCTTCATTTTAATCTTGGCTAATGTAATTATGATGTGCCTTGGTGTGTTCCTTCTTGGGTCCAACTTCTTTGGTACTCTCTGAGCTTCCTGGATTTCCTGGAAGTCTATTTCCTTTGCCAGATTGGGGAAATTCTCCTTTATTATTTGTTCAAATAAGTTTTCCACTGGTGGCTGTGCCTTTCCCCCTTCTGGTACCCCTATAATTCGGATGTTGGAGCGTTTAAAGATGTCCTGGAGGTTCCTAAGACTCTCCTCATTTTTTTGAATTCTTGCTTCTTCACTCTTTTCTGTTTGGCCATTATTTGCTTTCTTCTGGTCCACTCCATTGATTTGAGTCCCAGTTTCCTTTTCATTGCTATTGGTGTCCTGTGCATTTCCATTCATTTCAATTAGTTTCGCCTTCATATGTTTGTCTAATTTGTGGCTATAATCAACCAGTTCTGTGAGGATCCTGATCACCAGTGTTTTAAACTGTGCATGTGAGAGTTTTGCTATTTCTTCATCGCTTAGATTTATAGGCTTTGGGGCTTTGAGATCTTGAGCCATTTTTGTTCTGTTCGTGCCCTTTAAGTGTGAGGAGCGGAGCCTTGGACTCCCAGGTCGCTGGGTTGTGATGCTGTATGTGGAGGCGGGGTCAGAGCGGGGAAATGGCGGCCCCCTCTGGTGTTTCTCACAGCTGGGTGAGGAGCAGAGCCTTAGGTGGTTCACCAGGGCTGGGCCACTCAGAGTCGCTGGGTTATGACGCTGTATGTGGAGGTGGGGTCAGAGCGGGGAAATGGCCCTGTGCTGCTGCTCGCCGTGGGGCCTGCTCAGTCCCGTAGTCTCACCACCCACTCCCTCGCTTGTCTATCTGCGCAGGAAAGCGCGACCACAGTCAACCCGTAGCCCTGCTCTCTCGCTGTTTCCCCCAAGGTCGTTTGCTTGGTCGCTCGCTGGGTCGCTCACTAGGTCCAACCCTGCGCCTGGATTCCGCGCGCCCGAGTCCATCTGACCGAGTTTTTCTGTGCAACCCCACTCCCACAGCTGCTGGTTTCGCCCCTCTTACCGGTCAGGCTGAAGAATTTGTTGTTATCGGACTTCCAAAAAGTTCAATTTTCTGTTTTCTGTTGCTAATATTTAGTTATCTCTAAACTTGGTTGTGAGAAAAGGCACAGCGTCTCCACCTATGCCTCCATCTTGGTGCCAATTTGTGTTTCTTAATATCTTTACTTTGTTACCATGATGTCTTCTTCATTTTCTTTCAAAAGTTTTAAAGTTTTGTTCTTTCATATTTAGATTAATCCAGCTGGAACTCATTTCATGGCTATTTTGAGGGAGAAGTCCAAGAATCTTGATTTGCCCATGCGCTGACCTGCCCATTTATCCCCCAGCATCGAGGTGGCCTCCCCACACTTGTCTGGCGCTGCCTCTGGCTCACTCGAGTTCCCGGCTTCTCAAGAGCCTGTCTTCTCTCCCATTG